CTTTGTGTTTAGGGTAGTGATCAATTGCTTGACTCTTTTTGGTTGTGCAATCTCCATACTTTGGTATTATCCTTGGTTCCTTTGTTCTTCTCACTCTTTCAAAATAAATCTAGAATCTAGCCACTTCTTCCCACCTCCACTGTCACCACCCTTGTCAAAGCCACAGTCGTCTCTCACCTGAATGATTTGAACAGCCTTCTAACTCCCTGCTTCTCTTGTTCCCTCACAGTATTTTCTTAACACAGCAGCAAGAATGATCCTCTTAAAATTTGTCAGTTCACATTACTCCTCAGCGGCCGTCTCATTTCACTCAGAATAATGCCCAAATCCTTACAACAGCCCACAAACTCTTCAGTGAGCTAAGCACCCTTCCCCCAACCATGGGCCTCCCTGCTATTTCTTGATAATGCCAGGCACACCCTGCCCAGTGACCTTTGCTCTCTACCAAGAGTGCTCTTCCCCTAGACACCTGCTTAGCTAACCCTCTTCCTTTTACATCTGTGCTCAAATTTTACTTTCTCAGTGAGGGCTGCATTGCCCTTCTTCTTTAATATGGTAAATTGCGCCCAACCAGGAATCCCAATCCTCTTTCCTCATTGTTCAGGCAGTCCCTGAGTTACAAACATCTGACCTGCCCACAACCCCCCCTTAGGAATGGAGGCTATTACACAAGTTCCCGAGCTACAGGACTTGGACTGGTATATGACTCTTACTTAGGAACAGCGACTATTATATGTATAGGTAAATGTACTTGTTCCAACTTACATAAAAATTCAACTTAAGAACAATCTCCTATATCTATTTCATTCATGACCCAAGGACTGCCTGTGCCCTTATTTTTCCCTTAGCAACCATCTTACCACACACTACATCACCTATTTATTGTATGTGTTTAAATCTGTCTCCCCCACTAAAACATAAGCTTCACAGGGGCTACAGTCTGTGTTTTGTTCACTGGTGTATTTTAAGCATCCAGAACACTGATTGGTTATGATACTCACTCAACAAATATTTATAGAATCAACTAATTGTTTTTTTTGTTTTTCTTTTTTTGAGACAGAGCCTCAAGCTGAGCCCCTGGGTAGAGTGCCATGGCATCACGCTCACAGCAACCTCCAACTCCTGGGCTCAAGCGAGTCTCCTGCCTCAGCCTCCCAAGTAGCTGGGACTACAGACACCCGCCACAACGCCCGGCCATTTTTTGGTTGCAGCCATCATTGTTGTTGGTGGGTCTGGGCTGGGGATTCGAACCCGCCACCTTAGGTGTATGTGGCTGGCGCCTTAGCCTCTTGAGCCACAGGTGCCGAGCCCACCCAGCTATTTTTTGTTTGCAATTTGCCTGGGGCCGGGTTTGAACACGCCACCCTCGGTATATGGGGCCAGCGCCCTGCCCACTGAGCCACAGGTGCCACCCCTCTTTGTTTTCAGTGTCTTCTTCATGCTCTTACAAAAATTCCTATATGTGCTAAATACAACTCTACTTTAAGCTGATGTGCACAGTTACTCACTAAAAGTCCATGATTCTCGTGTTGTTTAATAATATTTATGCCACTTCCACTCCCTTTCTAGTCCCCAAACTGAGCACAGGCAGAACTTTGATGCCTAAATATCCATTATTTTTAGGACCACCTGGTCTGGTATATTGGCTGAGAGACACTTATCCTCAGGCCACTAGTCTAGGTTGGGGCTATTGCACTAAAGAAATGAGAGAAGAGGAGCAGTGGTACATTGAGGAAGGTCTGAGAGTTGGCCCCTCTGTGGGAAAACAGCAAAACTTTCTACCCACCCCGCCCCACTGGTTGGATAGGAGACAGAAGAAAAATCGAAGGGTGTATTAATATACAGTTGTGTGCTGTAGGGTGTAGCTTATAAAACCCTCCCTTGAGTCCTCTATAAAATCTTCAGTTAAACCTACACTGCTTGTAAGTAGTTGAAGGGTAGATTTTCTTTTGAAGGAATTCAAACATGTTTTCATTCTTACTTCAAGGTTATCATGGGGTAAAAATTGAGGCTTCCCATGGGAGAGGTAGAGTTAGCAGAACAATAAAGATCTATTCAAGTCACCAAGAGAAGTGTGGGAAAGGGACCATAGAAGTGACAAAAATTGGCTTGGTGCCTGTGGCTCAAGTGGCTAAGGCGCCAGCCACATACACCTAAGGAGGCAGGTTCGAATCCAGCCCAGGCTGCCAAACAACAATGATGGCTGCAACCAAAAAATAGCCAGGCGTTGTGGTGGGC